AACCAGAACCAGTTATTGATTCGTTGGTCAAAAATTGTATACAAGAATCATCGTGCAGAGAGGGAAAAAAATACTTGCATGCCTTAATTATTTCACTTTAACTTTAAAAAAACCATCCATGGGGACATTTGTAATACTGTGAACAATAAAGTTTAAAAAATTAAGATCATCAGAAATATGAAAATGTATTGTAGTCACTAAATAAGAATGTATATTATAAAAATGTTAAATAAAAACTCAAAAAATAACTGTATAGTGGAATAATAAAATCAATGTGTGATGTTATTTAAAAGAAGAAATAGAATTTCTCCCAATAAAGCTTCTCTAATTTTTTCTTTAGTTACCATGCTATTAATGTGTGTTAATTGAAGCTGTTTAAGCTAAAGCCACATTTCTGGCATCTTTGGCTATTGCATGAGAAATCTGGGGCACTAAATTTGACATAGTATATTTCTTCATATTTAGATCCATCTGTTTGTCCCAAAATGCATTTTTCCTTCATTGTTCACATTTTTTTATTTTAAACAAATTCTCATTAGTCTAAGTTACACATCATCTTTCTTAAATTATCAGAACTTTTTATTTGAGATCAGTTAATAGATTGTGTTCTTTATTATTTCTATACGTTAGGATCAACATTTTTTCTAGCATTGTCAACCTCTAGCCATAGTTTTTCCAACATCTAAATTGTCCATCAATTGCTTTAAATATTTGGTACAATATATTGATTTAAAGGGTTGGACTTGGGTCCCATTTTTATGAAGTTCTACTTCATTTTTCCTCCATAAAGTATGCAATTAATTTCATTTTGGATTTCTGTAAATTGGGATGAGAATTAAAAGCAAACTAAGTGAAGAGTTCCATTTTATAATTACTTCCTGATTTTTAGAGTTGTCTCTCTCACACCTGATTTGGCAGCAATGTTTATAACCACATACAATTATGAAGTCTTTCTAGATCAGTAAGTTTATTCTTAACATAATTCTTTTTTACACACTTATATTTCATTTTGGTAATGTTTAATTAAATTACATAATTATAAAAATGAGTACAATGGGAACAGACAGATTTGAGGACAATTACAACTGATTCTTAGTAAGCCTACAAGTCACATTGAAGTACTGAAAATATATGAGCCATGAGCATTCTACTTGCTATAGTCATTGGTCAGCTGTCACTGAGGGGATGGAGAGCTGTCAATAGTGAAACATGTGAACTAACAAACTTGAGGAAGACCTATGATGATTTGCTACAATGCACAGTCATTTTCTCTTATTATAATTAATACTTGCATGAAAATGTAAAAAGCATGTTATATATTAAGATGATACAATACTAGATGAGATGTTTTACAATGGCTAGCACATATTAGATGCTCAATAAATACTTATTGAGTTGAATTGATGATGCAATGTTAGCTTACCAAACTGTAAAACGAGATCAAAATCAATATCATTAAATTTGACAAGGGTAGATATTAATAACTATATTGAGTTGCCAAAAATCCAGTGTACCGGTACTTGATAGATTTGATTTTGAATCATTTGATGTCAAAAATATACAAGTTTAGGTTGACCCTAACAATTCAGCAAATTTTAAAGTCCATGTTATCCTGGGCTGGTCTGGCAGGATATGTAATTCAGAGGGAGGAAAGTCAGCATCTCATTGCACTCAGCCCTGCTCTGAACACATCTGGAACTCTGAATGCATTTCTAGGTTCTGCAATTTAAGTAGAAGTCAGAAGAAAAATTTAAGAGTGGATAAGAAAAGATAGCTAGTAATCTTAAAACTGTCTCACAATGTAAGAAGCAAATGTGTTAGAAGTGTTTATTTGAGGAGTAAAATATGCAAAAGAGGAAGACCAAGTATGAGATGGATAGATTTCATAAAAGAATTTAGAGGCCTGCGTCTGTCTACAGGACTCTACTGGTCTCTGGCTCAATTTTATTCAATGACAGCATGATTTAGAAAGGCACTGGCGCTGTTACTTCTTTCTGAGTCTTAAAAAGCTCTTGGTAAATGCCCAGCCAGCGTAGTTCAGTGGTTGAGCATCATCCTATGCACCAGGAGGTTGCAGTTTGATTCCCAGTCAGAGCACATGCCTTGGTTGCAGGCTCGATCCCCAGTGGGGTTTTGCAGGAGGCAGCAGATCAGGGATTCTCTCTCATCATTGATGTTTCTCTCTCTCTCTCCCTCTCCCTTCCTCTCTGAAATCAATAAAAATATATACTTTTTTAAAAAGTCTTGGTAAAATTTGCCTCCACAGTTACCAAATTTGACAACTCAGCCTAGCTACTTAAATAGAGTGGGTACCACAGGTTTTCTACCAGGTGACAGGGACTTCTTGCCCAGCATCAGTGCTGTGACAGGATGCCGAGCCTTCCTCATTCTCATTTGACTCACCCACCATTCATTGTCACTTAAATCCTCATAAATGCCCATGGTTTACCAATGAGGTGGTGTGAATAGGACAG